TATTGATGCACCATCCTGGAGGAGTTGGACTACCTGTGCAACCTCTGTAGGGTCCAGGTATCACCTCATGCTACCAGTAGTGACACTGACTGTAGCCAAATGCAAAATTAGTGAAAAAAACTGTCAGAAAAGATGATGAGGGAAAAATGTCAGTGGCCCCCACCTGTTAAACCACTCCTGTTTTGGGGGTCGTCTCATTGTTGCCCCTCTAGGGCACCTGTTTAACTTCTTTAACACCAAAGCAGCTGATACCGATTAACAACCCCCATTGCTACTTAACAGACTAGATCAATATTTCAGAAGTTAAATTGATTCGATGCTATACTCTGATTAAAAAGTGTTCCTTTAATTTTTTTGAGCAGTGTATATAAAATTCAATTCAAGTACACATAATGCCATTTCCTTTCATTTTAATAAGGGTGAAGCCAGAATCTGTTGTCCAGTCTGGTCAGAAGGTCCCAGGCTTGATGCAGAAGAGGTACTACCATTACTAGGAGAACTGGAAGGAACTGGTTGGTGCTTCTCTGCACTGACCATACCCGGCAGAACCCCTTGTGTTACAGTTGGCATTGGTACTGTTGTTGGTTCCTGTACTGGGTACAATGGGGCACTGCTTCCTCCTGAAGCCGTAGCAGAGGGCTGAGCAGCAGCCAATACGGGTGACACCGTCGGTGATGTTCCCGGCAGTGGGCCTGCTGAGGAGGTTCCCCCAGGCACCACCGCAGGCGGTGACTCCACACCTGCGTTGCCCTTGGACACCTCGGCCGTCTTACTCTCCATCTCGTCAAGCCGCTTCTGCACGATGCGCGGCATCAGCTGCACGTAGGTGCCCATCAGGCGGTGGTTGGAGCGGATCAGTTTGCTCGCACAACTGTCTACACAACGCTCCTGTGGAGACAAAGACAGCTTAGCCAGCAGGTGGCACTGCCATGAAGTACAGTATATGTAATTTATGTCTAAAAGGTTGCAGGCCCTTAGTCCTAGGGTGAGACCTGTTCTGTCTGAGGGATTAAACCCAAACACCTTCTGAAGGTACTTACAAGCACGCACTGAAAATACTTAAACTCATATACGAGTGTTTGAGAAACAACTACCGTAGCTAATTAAATTGAGACTTAAATGTGTAACAGAAAGTAGACTGGCAGCAGAAAGGAACCAAATGCCAAAGTATAGTCTCTGGCGATAATTATAACATTCAGCCGGGATATCATGGTCTGTCGGTGACTCGGGTCCGATTCCTTTTGGGGCATTGCGGTGTATATGCGGTGCAACCAGCAGCACTGATCTAATGAAATTCTGAAATTAAGAATTTAACAAATGCCTAAAATGGGAAATACCGTTGTTCGACATCACATCACTAAAGCTAGCGTAGTGTACAGTTGGGCCACCGAAATATCAACGTGTAAACCTTACGGCATTTACCGAAGACTGATTCATTCACCTCATCCATCGTGAGATTTCTGTAGTTCAGGTTGCTGGTGCACCTCAGGAAGCAGATCTCTGTCATCCGATTGTAAACGAGCAGAAAATCCCGCAGCTGCAATCCAACGAAATGTCAACGCATTGCAAAATGACAGTTGTACCCCAGTCTTATTACATTTTATGGAACAGTGGCGTGACTTACATTTCTTAATTGTTGGTCGTGATCCATGATCAGACAGTACTGTTGTGCGTCTCGCAGTGCTTAATCAACCGCTGGTTTTAACGACTGATTTAAAACGGAAGAAATTAAACAATAAAAACAGTTCACACTCTGTATAATTGCCGAGCTGCCCAAACAAGCAACATGACTTTCACAAGGCAGCCATGTTTATTTTTTTTAACGATTGGCCACGCCTCTGTTTAAGATCGTAGTCTATGACGTATAACTCTCTACCACATGATTGGCTTAGAGTCAGAACCCGCCCAACGCATAAATCATAGTGAAACGCCTCACGATGCTGCGGCTCTTGTGTGTGTTTCCTGTAAGAAGTTAGAGGCGTGAACAACGAACGTTTATTGGAAAAGAGAAATATTTATAAAAGTTCTACATTCAGTTACATTAAAGTTACATGTAAATCAAACATATTTATCTCACATCCGATAAGTACTGGAGATCAGCACAAAAAGCAGCTTTTTTAATAAGAAATTAAGTTATAAGCGGCAAACAACTACAAAAATCCTGTAAATGCACAGGTTTCTTTTTTACTGTACTTTGTAATATATTTGGCACCATTAACTATTATGAAATTCCCAAACTTGCTTTCTGCGATATCAAAATTGTTTGCAGATTTTCAGTGGCGACTGTTTCGGTCCACTATTTTTATGTTTAAATTACACCATAATAAGGTCAAAATAACTTTTTCTTTTATCAAATGTGTAGAAACAACCATAATTTGTTGTTTTTCAGTCTATTCAAGGTACAGTACTTTTAAATGTGTTAATTTAAAAATCACCAATCATGCCAACATCTGCCAAGTACATTACATTTTTCCCTATACGTTTTGAGAAGTATTTTGCGAAACATGATATCCGAAATTGCCTTAAGAACAACCCGTGTGTTCAGTTCAGTCTATTTCTAGAGAGGTTTGGGGGTAGGAAGTGAAAATGTCAGGCGTCTTACGCCTTTGCGGGCTGGTGTCCAGGTCTGTCCGCAAACAATGACCTCCAGCTGTCAAACCTGCAACTGATATTCGACCTTCGAAGGCTGGTTTAAGGGTAATGTCAAGGTGCATGTTACTTGAAAGTCCCCTCACACAAAGGCAACCTGCCTTATTGCATGTGTTACATCAAATGACTAGGCTATTCGTGTAGCTTATACACATGCATAATAATCATACTGCGCTAAACAAATAAAAATACAAAGGGAAACAACCCATATTTCGACATTAAATGTTTATCCCGTGTTGTCATTAAAACAAATATTTCCCATATTACTAATCGCGTTTTTAGTCACACTCAGATTTGCGCTGAAAATAAGGCTCGTTTATTAGAATGAATGATGGCCATTTATAGCCCGTGACCCAAAAACGACAAGAAGGTCGTCACACGAAGACGATCATTGAGAAGTTTGGCTGATTTTCAAAGCGGTGGCAACATCGGCAGATCGTCTGTGAACAAGCCGTACGTTTCCGTTAGAATAAAATAACATTTTCAGTTGGTAATAAAAATGAGACGCTTGAATAGTCTGGGTGCATCTATTGCATATTCGGCAGAACGTTATATGGAAATACTTTTTAAAATTACAAACGTAGGTCTAAGTGTTAGATCCTCTTCCGTCAGTCCAAGAATTCGGGCATCTGCGACGCGGGGCTGCAGCAGCGACTCTCAGGGACAGAAAAAGAAACATTCTGCTGCAGTCGGTAGGAATCTACGGGCTCTCAGATCACTGGCATCTTCGTATGGTACTGCCTCTTACAAATATATGCTTATAAAGAGCTGGGTGACAGATTCATTGCACTGATTGAATGGTGAGTGAGAAATAAAGACTGAAATGAAAGGTAATTGCAAAGTCACTCCTGCGACATAAACACACGAACAGCAGTGCAGTCACTAACTGTCGAAGGCTTGACTTTGATTAGCCCATTTTATGAAGCGAGCAGGGTCGTCGTGGATCGCCTCGACATCCGCCTCAGTCTCCATGTCCCTCTGTCTCTCCTGTCTCATCTCCCACGCTTGTTCCCGACTTTCCAGCGCCATCTGGTGGCTGTTGAGATAGATGCTGTTACGTGACACCATGGGGCTGCTCTGCCGGGGTGGCAGGCCGCTGTCCACCTCCAGCTCCAGGAATTCCTGTTGGGAATGGGCATGGACTAGCCGTTTGGGCTGAGCCTGGGCTTGCTTTCCCCTTCGTTTCTTCCTGTTCTTTTTGCCTCCCACAAGGTCCAAAGAGGCGTATGACACGTCTACGTTCGGATGGAGCTCCGGCTGTAAACAACAGAGTTAAAAAGGGTTAAGTAAAGGAAAAAACTGCATGTGTTTCGGTTCAGTGAACCAGGGGGGCGGGCTGGACAGCAATCTGGCAGAATGCCCAATCCCCTACACACCTCCTGGGGGGCAAATTCATTGCAGAGTACCCCAAAATCCAGAGCCGATTTCTAAGCCTAACCCTAAGCTTAAAAGCACAGATCCAGAGGAGGGCAAAGGGCAAAGCAAAAGTACACACAATCTTTATAAAAGATACTTTTTTAGGTATTGCAACCCTGCACCAAAATGCTTCATGTTTCCAATAAAAAATAATAGGTAATGCTTTACATTAAGTGCACCTTCATAATGCATTCATTATGCATTCATAGAACATTCAGTGCACCTTCATAATGCATTCATTATGCATTCATAGAACATTCAGTGCACCTTCATAATGCATCCATAATGCATTCATAGAACATTCATAAGCAGAATGCAAGTACACCTTAACATCCTAACGTTCCTTAATAGCTTTAATATACACTAATAACAAGCATTACATGATTATACGATTAGAATGTTTGTTATTATTATATAATATTTGTTATGAATGTATATTTCAACCAGGCTTGAATCAGTGACCTTCTGGTAACAGGCACAGAAGTTTAGCCCACTGAGCCACAAACTGCCCCCATTTGTAGCACATTTGTATTCTTAGAATTAAATTACAGGAGTGCTGAATCATACCCTGTATAGACCCCCGATTGTCCTTCATCTCTAAATGTACACATTGTGGTTTTGTTAGTTGACCGCTTAGGTTTTGCAAAGACTACCTTCGCCTTTCAGAGACAGCGTGTGAAGCAAAATGCGTAGGCAGCTTGTGTTTACGCGCAAAACAAAATTTCAGTCTAACACCATCTAAAAATTATTTTTGTCTTTTTTTGTCTGGGTTAAAGGAACGATCTAACACCAGTTAATGACTGCAAAACACCCACCTCTTATATAAACAGTTAAACAAATAGCCTTTGGAAAGTGTGTATTGTTTTCACAGACTCTGATTAGGCCTACTGGCCGATGTAAATCTGGATATAACACGTTACCTTATTTTCCCTTGATATGCTTGCTTCCATATGTTCATACAACATTTCAGCCGGACATCCACCTGCAAAAATCAACGCTTATCACTGTTCAGAATGTTGACAACACCGAGGATTTTTGTTGATTTCTAAATAAAGTATATTTAACACTTGGATTTTTTAATTAGTCTATTGCGCAATAAGGACTTAATTTTATCTGATGGGTCTTGACCGCATCACAACATGATTATTTCTTGCTTTGAGTTTTGTCTTTTGCGTTGTTTTGTGAAATCGGAAAGACAAATGAAATAGCGGGAAGCGTTGGTTATTGTATTACTATAAGTAAATAAGTAAAATGCACTATTATAATAACAGGCTGTCATATTGAGTATTTGGACATTTTAAAGTAGGCCTATGCATTAATTAAGGAGGCTGAATGAAGTAAGCGTTTGAAAACCATGAAAAATGCAATTTAAAATACGAAAGTTTATCTCACCTGCCCTGTCTGTGTGGATATTACCATAAATGGGATTGTCTTGAAGCCGTTCCTCTTCAACACTATCAGAACTAAAAAAAAAAAAAAAAAAAATTAAATCACATAGGGAGGCTAATAGTCAAAAGCACAAGAAATGCTCACACCCGCCCATCCACATACACATTAGGCCTAATAAATATCCTGCAATTTTATTTGTTAAACATTCAGTGACAAAGGTCACTGATATATGTGCACGGATATGGGTCTACCTCCAATCAGCTGTACAGTGACAACATTTAAGGCAAATTAAAGGCTACTGACTTAACCAACCTGAAGTTTTCCCTGTTGTATGGAATAATGTGCTCCTTTTGACCTGTAAAAGTGAACATTGTACCATAAATGAAATATGCCTTATTTTGTTATGCGTCTGTAAGCCTAAATATCGGCATATTTTTATTTAACCATACAAGGCTAACATTGAGGCTACATGGAACCAGCGTATTGCAAAACCTTCTCATGTAACGCAGATGAATCTGTAAATGTTATGAAAGAGCTTTTCTTACGTGTATGGAAAAAAAGGCTTATTTGGTGGTTGATTGACATTCATTGTTGCTTTTTAAAAATCTTTGTTCACTGGTATACTAGTATTCAAAAGGAATTACTTATGAAGAGCCGGACAGACATAAGATGACGCAGCTGAGTTGTGGATATATACCGGCCCGATGGTAATAAGCTTTAAAAAAAAAGCTAAAAATCTTATTAGGCTATATCTAAATGGTGGAAAAGGGGGTTTGTTTGACGTTGATGAAAAAAAGCTACAGTTCTTCATCAGATATGGCATGCAGCACAAAAGGCTATGGAAAATGTTAAGTGTCCTTTGATGGTGCAAGAATATGAGGGGAGTAGATGCTGAAGGTTTGGAAATTATGGTACGTTTTGTAAATGTCTCCATAAGAGAAGATAATAAGCAGTTTACTATGGGTCATGAACGGACTCCAAAAAAGTGATATTCGCTAACAAATATGATGCGAAGTGCATCGCTATTTTTCACGAGGTATGTACGCAAAAACTACACACGGAGAAAGATCTTGTGAGAAAGATTTGAAAAGAAAACAATGGATCAGTGATCATTAAGATGTGTCACCAAGCCCGTGCAGCTCAAGAATCAGAAAATCCATGACATGCACATTGCATTGATACAATTACATTTATAATCAATTACCAGTCAAAATGCATAAGAATGTCATATATCATGTCTGTCAGGTCATATTAGTAAATAGTTGCACAGTATTGTTTGAACAATGGGCCTCATTCACCAATATCATCTTAAGTTTTTTCTTCTTAAATTTGTTCCTGAGAAAGGTTCTAAGAAAGTTCCAAGAAAAGTCTGTGTCATATTCATGACGTGTTATTAAACTGCATAATTCGCAAATGTGTTCTTGACATGACGAATCCCCTTGTCCTCGTAAATTGATACACGTGCCAGTTGGTCTCAATTAGCAGAGGTAAACGCCACATCAGTCCCCATAAAAGAACATGAGACGGCAGTGTCGTGTGCACACTCAGAAATCACCCACATAATTAAGACGAAAAATTGAGAGAGAAGTCAAGTGTCCAAACAAAAACGTGAAGACACTTAAGCACTGGACTCCATGGGATGCTATTACTCATTTTAATAATTCAACTATTGTTGTTGTTGTTAAATAATAATAATAAAAAAATAATAGTAAAGAAATGAATAGGGCAATAATAATAATAATAATAATAATAATAATAATAATAAAACATATTCAAATTACAATGCCAAAATAACAATATTATAAATATAACAATATTATTATTATTTAAATCATATAATATATACAACTACAGAACTGAAAAACACAATAAGCAGCTATTCGGCATAAATTTGTCAGCACTCAAATGTGTGTAAGTGTGCTCTGGAGTGAGCGGAGATACTGTTGTTACTTAAAAACAAGTTCCAAAAAAAAAAAAAAAAACACTGATGTATGTCAGAATAAGTAAGTGGGTTTTAAGATGAAATTTCTTCTTAAGAACAGGTGGTGAATGAGGCCCATTTGGTAAAAGACCCGTAGCAGACGACCAGAAATCCGTCAAGATGTATAATGACAATAAAATAACGTATAAACACGTGACTCTATTCAGTTTTACAGTAAAACTGCGTTAGAACGTAAGAAAAACGTAAATGGAGCCAGAAACACAGCAAAACGACGCAGTGAGCCAAACTGTGCTGACAGAAATTATTACGATTTCGGTTTTGGGAAAAGGGCATCTCAAACTGCATTCCTGTAGGGCAAGTTATTTATGCTAAACTGCCACATTATTTAATTTCTTCTTTAATTTACATGATTTATATTTGCATTAATATTGCAGACAGTTGTGGCTTAGGGCACTAGGGGTGTAAATCAGTGTATCCCATGAAGGCGACATACATCGAGAGCAGTAAATAAGAGAGGAGCACGTACCTGTGCCCTGCCGGTCCCGATATCTCTGCCAATAAAAAATGACGTTCAGGGATATGGAGATGACGAGGGCCAATAAGGTCAGTGCTAGAGCCACATAGACACCTGCAGGGCATACTGAAAATGCAAGGGAGAATGAGGGCCACGTGTTACTGCAGGGGGCAACAAGGTGCTTAATCAGCAGGACTTGAAAGCTAAAGACTTGCATGTCCGGCTGTGTAAACAATCACTACGGCCATTCGTAAGCAATATAACGTGTGCTGGATAAAACTGTTCTCATATCCAGACTTCAGTATATAGACTTAACATTCAGTAAACTGTTTCCCAAACTAACATCCACTCTTTCTCCATGAGAAGTTAACATCTCAAAGCAATAGGGTAAACCTGGAAACATACCTGGAGCTACTGGCACGACTTCCTGTTCGAAAAATGCCCTAATAACAGTCTATAACAAGTCATTAACGCCCAGGTCTACTGCAGTGCGTTTCAGTCTGTCCACCTCAGAGTATCCAGTTGTTCCACGCTGCAGACTGATTAGCGACGAACGGTTACAGATTTGAATTGGTTATAACTATATCAACCCTTAAGCAACCGACAAGGCAATGCCACAAATGTTTCCTAGTTTGGTTTTCATGCTGTAATTTTTGTAGACGGGCTTATTTACACATTTCCCCCATACTGTATGTTTCTCTGATTTTGTGTCCATTTGCAAGAAAAGAAGAGAGATACTGCAGAATTACACCTTGAAAATTTTAGGTATGTGGCCTATGGAGAAAAGCTCTTAAGAAAAATAAAGTTCAGAAATGAGTAGTTGGTATTGTGTGTCAAATGCGTCATATTTTATTGTTGATTAGCTTTTTTCACAAATTGTTTGTGCTCTAACAAGTGCATCATTGATGGAGACCCTGCCTTCACAGAGCCTCATAACCAATTACAGATGTTCTAATGAGACAAAATTGAGTGTATGGGTGCCTTCATCCAACAGTAAGCATAAATATATATAGCGCGATTGTATGGAAGATGTTAATTGTGAAGGTTTTAAGATCAACACAGAATATGTAGATAAGTAAAGCCTAGAAAAAATATCAAGTGCGTTTGGAATTTCTCTTCAACTCTAAAACTGTGAAGACGCACAAATGAATTTTTATATAAGTAAATCACCACCAAAACACTTCACCCCAACATATGATAGATTGCGCACGTCCTGCATTCATAAAAACAAAGTTAGCGATGTTTGTGACCTGTTTGCCTGGTTTCCCGTCACGAACAGGATTTGCATTGTGCTGTATGGTCACATTTTTCTGAAATAAGTTACGAAGACCCAAATCAAAATTTGATCAGTGTTTATATCTACCTTTCCAAGCCAATTCATCTTTAAAAATCCAATTTGAAATGCTTTATTTTATTTTATTGACTAGCACATGGTGTTTTTAAGGTGTAATTAATTTTATACAGTTGGATATTTTAAACTTAATTATTTAGGACTAAACTCAGATGAAATGTTAATGTATCTGTCTGAGATGAAAAGCATTTTCTTCTCCACTTTCCAGTATTTCACGCTCCATGTTCGCAGCCACCCAAGATGAAAGCTCAGTGAAAGTAGAAGCCGCTCCTGAAGGCACCATGTTGCCTTGAGGGGCCTTAGCTTACCCATCGTGTCTAGGTTGCCTCAGCTGCAGATGGGGTCTGTGACCTCCCTTGGGACAGAGAGCGCTGCAGAGGTCCAGACTGTCGTGAAGCTTCACCCTTTTCACCCGTCACCACGGGCACAGAATCTATTTTTATCAGCTCTAACTTTTTTCGGTTGCAAACAGGAAGTGTGGCAGGTGACCTCATTTATTGCAGCTCGTACCCTTGGTGAGAGAACGGCGAAAGCTGAATGGTTTAGGCGTAAACTGCCTTATTTGCTATGTACCGAGACCACACACATGCCACTTGAAGAAGCCATGCTTCTTCTAAGCACAGGAACTGAGGCGATCTTGTTTGCAGGCTGAATTGTTCCAGCCTGTGGTTGTGCAGTACAGCTGAGAACAAGGTGCAAATAAATTGAAAATGAACGCGCAGGGACTGAAGGATTTCGCTTTAGATGTCATTTCATTACCTGGACTGTGCATTTAGTGATGATGGAGAGTGAAACTGACCTGGAGCAAATAAACTGAATTAGGTTGATAGTCATAAATTACCCACAGGGGTGCCGCTGGAGGTTTTCGGAACCATGAAAGTATCTCATATTTGTCTCCTAACACAGACCAATCCAATTATGTTCAAAATTTTTAGGGCACCTGAATCATCATAAATATCCCCCCTTTAAGGCACGCCTGATTTTCTCTCGGTCTCTGTCACCCTAATCCCAACAATGACAACTTTAACCCCCACCTAAGTTTAACCATAAGTAACTAAACAAAATACAAGACTCTTGGCATTTTTATTTATTTTTTTGATTGCATGGATTTCTATAAAATTGAACTTCCCCTTGTGGGGACCAAAAAAATGGTCCCCACAATGTCAAAATATGTGGACTGTCTAGCACAGGGGTGGCCGCAAAGGGCCGGTGTGTATGCAGGTTTTCGCTGCAACTCCCTAATTAGGTCACTAATTAGAGGACTGATTGGCTGAAGAGTCCTCACACCTGGGTTTGAACAGCTGACCTACAGGTTATCCCAAAAACCTACATACACACCAGCCCTTTGCGGGTAAGATTGGCCACCCCTGGTCTAGCAGGGAGCAGAGAGAGAGCAAAAACGTGAACACAAGACCAGGTGGAGAAACACTGATACACAGGATGCCAGTCGACTTCACGGCTCACTCACACACACACACACATGTAGGGTAAACATATCCTTATGGGCACCGCTCATTCATTTAAATGGGAAAAATGCTAACGCTAACTATGACAACCTTAACCCCTACCCTGCCCTAACCATAACCATAAGTAACCTAACAAAATACAAGAGATTTTGCATTTTTAGTTTTTTCATAGCAGTCACTGATTTTTATAAAATAGAGATTTCCCTTATGGGGACCAGGATACCGGTCCCCATAAGGGAAAAAAAACGGATATTTATCACGTTATAGGGACATTATGTCCCCATAAGGATAGGTAAACCCGCTCACACACACACACACACACACACACACACACACACACACAGTTCAGTTACCAAACAATCATACAGTACATTTGTATACAATTATAACTATATATACACTCACCTAAAGGATTATTAGGAACACCTGTTCAATTTCTGGCTGGTGGTGGTGGTGTAATGGTGTGGGGGATGTTTTCTAGGCTCACTTTAGGCCCCTTAGTGCCAATTGGGCATTGTTTAAATGCCACGGCCTACCTGAGCATTGTTTCTGACCATGTCCATCCCTTTATGACCACCATGTACCCATCCTCTGATGGCTACTTCCNGTATTAGTATGGTGTTCCTAATAATCCTTTAGGTGAGTGTATATGCTCATCTCTGGGCTGCAGGAAGAAACTGAGGATCTAGGAAAAACCCACATAACACAGGGAGAACAAGTAAGCTACACACACAGAGTGCATCGGCAGGACCCTCGATCCTGGGGGGGCAGCAGAGGGATTTGTGCTCCCTCTGGAAGAATTGTGTAGTTCAGAAAGCAAAGGACATTCTTAGTAAATCTGACCACATTTTGTTTAGTGAATTTAGTGTAACCCCCTCAGGTCGGTGTTATTCTGTGTCACTGAGGAAAAGACTTTCCTCTAAGACTTTCACTTCTTCTGCTATTGGCCTGCTTAAAGCCAACAGTAGTTATTTTAGATGAAGATTAAGCCCTTTAAACTGTAATCCTAAATAGATTACAATGTGTATTTTAATGTTCCTTTATTTTTCACTTTCTTTCTTCGTTCGTTCATTCATACATTCTTCTCTCACTCGAGGGTATTGGAGTCCATTGCTTGTGTCCAAACGCTGATCTGTCGTCTGTGGCATATTAATGTTTTACCATTGTTCTGTATTAAGTTTTATTTACGTGGGCTGGCTTTGTTATGGAACTGAATAACCTTTTTAGGATATACAGACTTACCTGAATACTGAATATAATGTGTCCGTAACATTTGTAATTTTTCTGTCATCAAACAGGAAGGAACAGCCACACCTCACGGCTTTATCAGATCTCCGGCAGGTGTACGAGCAGGATCTTCTCTGCAGGACCCACTTGGTGTGGGCGGCAGTCTTACATCGCTCACTTATCATTTCCACTTGAAGGCATAGGCTCTGCAGTGAGTCTCACTGCGTAAAAGCACGAGCAGGAAGTGATGTCAAAGCAGCAGAGACGCTAGGGTGACAGCAGCCACCTGGCCTTTGGAGTGGTCACAGCTATACTGCACTGTTCTCAGTATATGGGATGTTTTTTTGCATTGTGTACGTGTGTGCAGGCCTGCAGCTAGGGTTTAAAAAATAGTGAGGTCCAGGACCCGGGGGATTGGGTCTGGTCAATCACACATTACATACAGGAGGCCATTGTTTTGTGTTGAAAATCTGAAAAACAAAAATTCTGAAATATGCACCATATTGCCCATATGTGCCCAGAGTAAGAGAAATTTTTAACTTAAACAGGTCACTCTGCGTGACCTTGCCAGAGCAGAGAACAGAAACATACTCCACAAACCCTCCCTACAGTGTGCCTACCTGAATGAATTTAGGTCTGGGTCATAAAAACATCATAGAGGAAAATTTTATGGGTATAAAGTATGTAATTTGAGGTAATTTGTAGCCATATTTAAACAAAAGCTGAAAAAGAAATGCTTAATATTAATACACCACTACAAGCTAACATCAAATACACTTGTTTTGATATCAAAATTTGGCTTTGAAATGTTTCTGTGGACACTATTATTGATATTGTCCCCTTCATGAACTGTTCATTATTATTTTTTATTAATGACGTTGTGTGAAACGTTATTTACCCTAATCTAGCCCATTCAGGCGTAATATGAAAGAAACCCAACCTTTAACATGGCCGGAGTAGCCTGGCTTAAGCTCATATTTAACGTTTCATACAATTTACTCCAGACGCTATAGCAGGTCGCAGTTTTTGACCATGTTTTTTCTTACAGATAATGATCATTGTTTTGTCTTACGGAATGATACGCAACCTGCAACACCAGGGACATGGTCACATGCACACACCGTGAATTTGAACTGCTTTCCGTGCGTGCGTGCGGTTCACGAGTCACGCATCCTCTGTCATGCTAATACTGAGTCCTCTAGCTCTCTCTCTCACTCTCTCTCTCTCACACACACACATACACACACACACACTATTAATAGCACACTCAAACTGAAATAAGAATGCACTTGGCCGGGAGACATTTTCAACTGCTGTTTTTTTTTATTCAGGTGAATATTTAGCTGCAAATCTTATTTTAAGATTTTTGAAAAAAACTATCAAGGTCCAGACCTTGCTGACCTCAGCCAGCTACAGCGCTGTGCCTGTCTGTCAGTCTTTTTTGTCTGCTACAAAACTGTGCAAAAGGCTATGACAGAAAATTATTAGTCATGCTTATGTAAAACTATTATGTCCATCAGAGTGTGTCAGCTCAACCAACTCAAAAGCTCTTCTCAAGTCACCCCAGTATTTCCAGCAACCATCCAATACAGGCCAACCCATACTAGCATACATTGTCTGTTGGCTAACCAAAAGCCCATAAAATTAAGGTAAAGGTTTTACTTCAGTTGCTCAAATGTCAATTTCCCTATGCAAAACAAGGTGCGTAACATCCACATCCTTTAAGTAATTTGCGAACAGCCGAACATCATTTCTCATTGTTTCCCATGTGTTGCAAATGTTTTAATACATGTATGCAAATTATTATGTATAATTCTCCTCATTTGATATAATTATCAGTTGCTCATGTTTTATTAATCAAAATGCATTATGTAGTTTCCCAGTGAAAAAAATTTACGCCCAAAATTGTACAGCCAACCTTTCTACATCGTGACTTTCCCCATCGCGGTTTCTGTATAAGGCCAGCAGACCAGAAAATTTAGTAACTCATAAATGCATAAAATATACACACAATGTTGGTCTGGAGGATGGCAAGCATGTTTAGAGCCTCATGTGATATCTTGTGATAATCTTGCACTGATCTTTGTATGCCACATTTGTCATATCTTCTCGATCCGCTCGCCATGGAGACCAAAAAAAAATTACTATTTTTTTTCCCCAAACCCCTGCAATGTGGAAGGGTTGACTGAATATTTAAGTGATCATTGTACCACCACAGGCAAAACAGTTCACCAAACATCAAAATGAATGAAGCATATATTTAATAAATTCCAGTGACACGGTATTGTTCCCATGTCTGTTAAAGTTGTAACTTGCTTCTCAAGTGAATGGGACGTTTCTCATGTCTTAGATATACCAGTGATGCTGGGTTTTGAATTAACTTAACACGTGGAACTCATTAACTATGATTTGTAAAGCACATTTGCGTAGCAAGAGTGTCACGGAGTTGCTACACTTTCTGAACATCAACTTCCTGCTGGTGGAAGATGCAGTAGAGAAAAAGGAGTGAGAGTGTATGGTGATGTGGTGAGTGAGAATAAGACTGCAGAACGGAGAGAGAAGCAGAAGACGGCGAAGACACCAACCTGTCCCCAGTGAGATATGAGCCACGATTGTAAACCACGTGATCAACCAAGACCTTATAATGCAGATGCTGGTCAGACAGTACCGCCAAATGTCTGCTGGTCCACTGTGTCCTCAATCATCTAAACTTTCAGGAGAGAAAATGGGTATCTACTTCTATAATACTGCAATTTATTCTACTGGGTTTCCTGCTATTACAGTAAATCGATATGATTTAGGTTCATAATTAATAAATGTATTATGCCGTACAAAACTGAGCATCTACTTCATGCTGGAGACAAGAGCAACTTCACACCTCAGCAAGAGGAAGGAAATATGCATCTGAGAGTTCACTGCTGTGGGGGAACAAAACACAGGCAAAGGTTTGAAGACCGTCCTGCCTCGCTGGTCATTCGACCTGGCTTTGCCTTGGTAGCTTAGCGGTTTACCTGTGTCTGCTTGGAGCGACTGTGGGCTACAGCCATCCAGAAGATCCAAGCAAGCTGATGTTTGAATGAACTTTGATGCAGCTGGACATTGTTAGCTGCCAGCAAAATATCACCTCTGCACAGAGATGGGCACAAATGCATAATAACGTATTGTGTTACAAATTAAAAATACTTGCTCATGAAATGTAACAAAATAAAACACAAAATACTGGAGTGAGGAAATGTGTTTAAAATACAAATATGTAAATTGAAAATACATGTAAAATAGTAACGAATACGTGCATTATTACAGCCCTAGTAATATATAGTATTTACAAAATATACAGAATGTTATAACTTTAAACTGAATAATTTTGTTATTTACATGTGTTACAGCGTTAACTGTTAAATAAAAAAGTTACTTTCGTAACATTAGTAACGCAATGTGAACTCAACAGGCGGCATATGCAGCAGCGGCTTGGGAGGGGAATTCGGTTTCCCTATGTTTCCCCTGTCTTTCAGGAAATAATGTTTCCCTTAATATTAAAGCAAAGAGGTATGTGAAATATCTGAAAATCATTCGGGTACATTATTACATGTGGATACTGTACTGTTATTAGTACCGAGGCCCAGAGTTGCTGTATAGGCCTACCTGTTTTAACAGGGGGGAACCAAATATCCTGAATGTCAGGAAATAATGTTTCTCCTAATCTTTAGGCAAATATGTATGTGAGATGTCTGAAAATCACTCAGGTACATTATTATATGTGAATACAGTAGATCGTCACGCATAATATAGTCTTATAAGAAATACAATACCGTTTTCATCACGAAATATCTCTATCCAACGAATTAAATACTTTCATTTATTATCTGTAAAAACAAACATTTTAAAGGCGTGTGATGTTTTAAAATATATGGCTTGTTTACCACAAGAGCTTCGTAAAAAGACATGAAAACAACAGCGAAACCGTGTACAAATCAGCACGCGACAGGGGAAACATAGGGAAACTGAATTGCCCGGAACACCGGGAGACGGAACCGCCAAACAAATGTTCACGATCTCGGATCGCGGTTTCGGTCTCGGATTCACACCCATTACACCCTTAATTTACACCCATAATTTCCCGCAGAATTAGTAGCGGTTGCTGTCAGGGGAGCCGGCGTGTTTGTGTGCACGGGCAAGCAGGAACAATAAAGCTTTTCTAAATTATCACAATGTGTGAATTTCCCGCTTTATTTTACAGTGGGCTGGCAAACTTGCGCAAACTCAAATAAAAGATTACATTTTTTAAGATAATACGCTCAAAAAAAGGAGTAACCCGCGGCAGTGACACATATAATATTCAACGTTACTATTCGCTTCTGTTTTACAGAACCGACTGGCTATAAAAACACCTACGTTTACTGAATAAAAATTTATTTTGCACTTAGGAACAAAAGTGGCTAGCCTGTTTTCTGTGTATTACAGCCAATGAAGCCTTACATGACAAACCACAAGAGGAACATGCGTATTGAAATGAACTGGAATGCCACTAGCAGGCCAGCAAATTAACTCAAGTTCTAGAGTACAGCACTGCGGTTTGCTAATTGCTCTGTTTTTCTGTCCTACAATGACATTCAGTGAGCAATATCTTGTAGCATATTTTACTACATACTTTATATTAAGGCAATTTGCACCGAGCACCAAAGCACCTTCTTTCCTTGGATTACCGGTCATGGGAAAACAAAGTTCAAAATGAGCAAACTGCGCCCAGTAGGACGTGTCACGTGATTTACTTGCATTCAGCCGAAGACGGTGATAGGCTGTAATAAAAAGTCCGTAAGCCTGGTGAATAAGGGTCTTAAAATGACAGAAAATAAATAAATAAAATGGCATATAACACCAAGTATTTTAAATACATATAATGCAGTCTCTCGAAGTATTTTGTTACAATTTTTTTCTGTTCAGCAAAATACAAAATTACAAAATACTTAAAAGTAATTAAATATGTATTTTAAATACATTTAATTGAAATACTGCCCATCTCTGCCTCTGCAAACCCACAGGCCCACAAAGCCACCAGCACCAGGGTTTGGCAGGTTGTTTCTGGGACACTGTCATATGCCCGCGACTGTAAGACGAATGAGAGAAAAAGCTTATCCCAGAAACTATGGAGCCAAGGCAGTGAACACCACAGGATGGGGAGCCAACCCATCACAGGGCACACTTACACACCAAATGACAAAAAGTTTTGAAAAACAAAACATCTTGATTTCATTAAAAATGTAAAGATTTGTTTACATGTATTGAAAAATTAATTCATTTTCTCTTAATAAACTACATTGCGCTTTAAATCTTCCTGATATCCATCATGGGGCTGACTGTAAGTAGGGTCATCTGGTCCCGCACTGAGGTGTACTTCACGGGGGGAGGGGGAGGCTTGAAAGGCGGGGGCAAATCCAATCTAGGGAAGATGTACAGGCACAAACATGTAACTACTGACATAGGCTCAGGAGGACGTTTTGAGCTTGTGCTGAAAGCCAGAACGATAAACAAACTTTATTTAAGTTATTTGGTTTCATCAACAGCTAACAACAGGACATGCCTGAAAACATAGGCTGGCTTTTTTGGTTTTAAACTATACAATGGGCACACTGCACGACAGTATTCTGTATCCCTACTTCCAGGGCTTCTGTGTATAGAAAAGTGTACCGTCAGTCCTGCTGCAACGCGACAAATGCGTTCCTGAAAAACCTCGAGTATATTTCCGTACTAAGATCCACATATGCAATGGGAAAAATAGGGTTAAGCCAAATGCGGCTCCAAAACTCCAAACGAAAGGAATTAAATTATAAAAACAGTGCTGCAAATGGCTAATAATATTATAATGTGCATTAAGAATAAAAAAATTATAAAAATACATTAATAAAATCGATCATAAACATTTCCTATGGGTCTTATGACTGCGCATTGATCGCTTCAGCCAAACAGGCCAAAGTCGCTAACTCTGCGGAGAGCCGCGAGTATAAACGGCCCAAACGACGATTCATGAAACATTTACTGTTTTATGGCCCCACTAGATGGTGCTCTTGGTTTACTTTGGGGCATGCTTTGGTTCACGAAGCGTCATTTTGACCATCATTAGTCGGGAGTGTTAAGCCGCAGCCACTATGCACACGGCATAAATAAAACGGATTACGGTATCAGGGGGGCACTGAAGGCAACGTGGCTACTGCCAGTCTACGAAAAGCAAATGTAATGGAATTCAAAAACGCTGCTCTGCTTTTAAATGATAATTTGTCAAATATGTTTAGATCTTTAGAATCTAAAACTTTGACCAGTGCAATGTGTGGATCTGCAAAAAGTCTGATTCTGATTTGAAAACCAGTTAGACCGATTCACTGAAAAGAACCGGTTAAAAAGAAAGATTTGTTCATTTTTATAGCTGTTTTTCTGTGCAAGTAGTGTTTCTTGCTAAGACCTTGTGCTGTAGTTTGCACAGTGCTTTTCTATACAACTAAAAATTCCGCAAATACAGATGCGATTCCACATTGTATTAGACTTGGGTACCAATATATCAATCGCATTAGAACAGTTTTGTGGTGTGATGTCATGCGTTATGGCAGGACTGACTGTATTTTATTATGAAAAATGTACCATAAACTATACACTCACCTAAAGGATTATTAGGAACACCATACTAATACGGTGTTTGACCCCCTTTCGCCTTCAGAACTGCCTTAATTCTACG